TCTCTCTCTCTCTCTCTCTCTCTCTCTCTCTCTGTGTGTGTCTGTTTGTCTGTCTTTGTCTCTGTCTCTCTGTCTCTCCTTGTCTCTGTTTCTCTGTCTCTCCCTGTCTCTGTCTATGTCTATCTCTCTGTCTCTGTCTCTGTCTGTCTCTGTCTCTCTGTCTCTCTGTGTCTCTCTGTCTCTGTCTCTGTCTCTGTCTGTCTGTCTCTGTCACTCTGTCTCTGTGTGTGTCTGTCTCTGTCTCTCTGTCTCTTTTGCTGTCTCTCTTTCTCTCTGTGTCTCTCTCTCTCTCTCTCTCTCTCTCTCTCTCTCTCTCTCTCTCTCCCCCCACTTCCAAAACTTCCCATCACCACATTTCTGATGGGTTTGCCTTGGGCCTGTGGGTAAATCCTTCCAGCACTTGTGTCCATCCTTTCCAAACCAACACTTGTCTAATGCAGGTTAAGTGACTTAACATCGAACTGCTCCTTGGCAAGCTCCCTGCCCCCAAAGCCAGACTTCACCATCTAATACAGAAGACTACTGAACAGCAAAATTCTTTACACAGCGCCAAATGGCATCTAAAGTGACTTTGGCTAAAAGAATAAAGCATACTGGCTGGAAGTCTGAAGTTGAAGTCAAAGAAAGGATTTAAAAGGCCCTTTAGCCCCAAGTCAGCTCACCAGAGTCACTCTCAGCAGAATATCACCAAACTACCACCACCCTAGGTAGGGAGAGCGACTACAAACAATATACAAGAAATACATTTTAGTTCTCTCCTTAAATTGTGCTGAGAACAACAATATTGATCTTTTATAAACCTAAGTGGATCAGTGATCAATTTTATAACATTTCTGTTCCATATACTCACGAAAATATAAACAATCTGGCCAATAGAAAACAAGGAACTTCAAACTTGAATGATATAATAAGGGAGGGCGGCCGGCTGACCAGATGTTCTATGCGCCTTGACAGACAGGGCCTCATTCTGCCTAATCTCTGGGAGCTGGTACAAATAAAGGTCTTTTGAGCCCTCTATTCACTTTTATTATAGCCTCCTTTCTGCAGTGTTTTTCATCTTGAGTTTCCAACAAGAGCATCCTCTTAAAGGGAGCTTTTTTTTTTTTTTTTTTTACAAGTAGCTGAATTTAATGACAGCTGTTTTCTTGATATTGTTTTGTATAGTAAGGAGTCTCTTGGGAGTTATCCAGAAACCAAGTCAAGAAAAGACAATATTGAGGAACAAAATAAAAGGTAAGTCTAGCAAAGGCACTGATGCCTAATGGTTCCAATTGGGGCCTTATTATTGGCTAATGAATCATTGTCAAAACATTGTGGCAAGCATGAGCGTGCACAGCGTAGCCTGTAGTGAGAAAATGACTCTTCATCCTGATGCTTATTAGCTGGGAGTTGTTTGAAAACACGTCCAGTAATTACAACAACACTGGAGCTAATTGAGAACTTTGAGTTGCTAGCAAATGACCTACAACAGCAGACTAGATCAACTCGGGGGATTCTCTTCTAATTACTTATTGAAAAACAGCAGAAGATGAGTTGAATTTGGGCAATAGTCTTGCAGATATCAGGACGAGTTTAGCCAGTTCTCTCCCAAGATGTGCTTCAAAACACATTTAATACTGCCAGTGCATTAGGACGTGGAAAATTCTTAAAGAAAAATCAGGATTGTTCTAATTGCACCTTTAAATTTAAAGATTACTTTCATCTGAATAAGTTGTAAGTAATAAATGTTTCATCCAATCTCAAGGTTTTTGGGTTTGTTTTTTTTTCTGGAACCAGGGATTGAACTCAGGCCCTTGCACTTGCCAGGGAAGTGCTTATTCCACTGAGCCATCTCCCGAGCCCCCCAATCTCAAGTATTCATAGGAAGACTACAGCGTTTCTCTTCCCTGACGCTATCTTTATAAGCTCTATTTTCAATGGGCAAAAATGGAAAAACAAAAAGATACACAAACTTTCCATTTGCCTCTTCATTTTCCGGTAAGTGAAGGATTGAAAATTTTAACACAGAGTGAAGGTTTTGAGTTACTGTGGATTTTGTTTATCCATAGAGGACTTACTCTCCTGGGATTCTTATCTTACAGGCTGACTATATTGGCTGACAATATTTCTGTGTTATAAAGGTAAAACAAAGAGAAAATATCCGTTCTAATAAAAAATTATTCCATTTTTAAAAAATATACTGAAATAGGGTTTCTAAGTAGCTGAAAATCTGATATTCAGAATTACCCCCGTACTCCACTGCCACCAAACTAAATTCACTATTTGTTTCTCTTCCCCCTCTAGTTTAATTA